CGTTGCTTTGTGATCGTTCAAAATTCATAGAAAAATGGTGGGTGGGAATTGTAGTTGTCGGTTTGTCGCGTGAAATCGCACTGAAGGAAAATAGGAGTTCCTTCGCGAGTCATTGTCAAGTTATGCAAGGAATTCGTGTCACGAAAAGTCCAAGGGATGAAGCACACGCTCGATACCTTATTCCGCGTCACCCTGTATGCACAGGTACCGAGCTGCACACGTGTATACAGTCTGTTACGCACACGCACGTAATGCCTTACGCACACGGCTAACCGTAAACCTCCAGTCTTTCAGTTCATGTCGAGACCGCGTACAGTGTGGACTTCTGTGGTTTTTGAAATTCTGGTTCAAGCGTCGCGTCGCGTCGCGTCGTTCGGACATCGGTCGCGCTCGAATTTTTGCCTTTCCGGCTTCGTTCATCATCTATTTGTTATCACACCGTTCGATCTTCGACTCCGACATCTTGATAGCATGCTGGCGTTGATCCTTGGTTTCTGTTATTTCTACGCCGAGCTGCTTCGTTTAGAGTTGCAAATGCTCATACATCCGGAGGATTGCAAGCTGTCGAAGTTCTTGCTGTAAAAGCGAAGACACGAAGAGGAAGACGACAAGGCCTGTCGTGTCGAAACGTAGGACGGATTTATCTTGGTCGATGGATCGAGAAAGATTATCAGCGACATCAACCTATTGCGAAACGTGTTTGCTCCGCTCTGTCCTTGATGTTTTTCCGGCCAATCTGCTCAAAGCGGGTCCCACTTTTCGGTGCAATCGATACTAATTTCCACCAAGTTCGTCAATGTCGGCAAATTTTAATTAACGCTCCACGTACACACAAGCATTTCCCCGTTAAAATATTGATTTCGCGCACCGTCGATGGTGGGTGTCATTCCGCAACAACGTAACCGATAATGAACGCTGACTCTCGCTACTCGAGCTGCAGGACGTTAAAAATGAACGAGAAACTAGGATTTCGATAATGCGCGTTACTCACGCGCGGTTTACCTTGCTAAATCGGACGACGTGAATGAGCGAAACATGACACATCGAGGGAAGCTTTATCGATCGACACGCTGGATCTCTTCCAGTACCATCGTCAGATGTATACGCGCATAGTTCGCACGAATACCAGAAAAGGATAACGCGAAACATTAGAACGCTTGGAAAATTTTTTCGCTCGACGAATTTTCGCTTGCAACGCGAACTAAAGATTCGAGGATACTCTCTGTAATCTATGGAAGACACAACGACGCGAAGCGCAACGTCCGGTGTTCGGTGCGGAACGAAAAAGGCCTCGCAAAACCGGGCGCATCCGCAGATACGTCGACAAGTGAAAGTGCATTTTGTAAGATGACTGTAACTGCGGATAATGGCGTGTGCAGCCGCCACCGACGCCCCAGTATGTCAGCAACGATCGTCGTGGGCAACGGCGCGTTCGTCTCTTCTTTCTCGTCGTCGTCGTCGTCGTCGTCCTTATTGTCATCGTTGTCATTGTCCACGTTGCCCTCGTGACACGTTGCGGTTCAGCATGGATCGCTTGCAAGTGAAAAAACGACGCGCAGTTGCAAACGTAATTAGTCGATTTAACGTCTCGTCTAAGCTCAGTGACCTCGCGACCATGCTCTTCATCGATCTCGATTAATTATTCATGACGTTGACTTTCTTCCGTCGCTGAAGAAAACCACGAGTTGGTGGTTATGCGCGTGCTTCTCCCAAGGTCGTTGCAGCTACTACCGCCCAAGGAGGAAGAGGAAGTCAAAGGGGCATGACCCTTCATGGAATCGGTGAAAGGAACAGGACTCGAACGTCGATCGTCTTTTGTAGTCACATGGTTTCACCAACGACAACATGGAAACTATATTGAATTGTAATTGAAGAAGTTTCTAGTTTTCTGAACACATACGTACGATGTCTTGTTTAGATTTCTAGAAGTGTCCGATGTAGATCCGATAACGCGATATCGATACGAAGGATCGTGATGCTTTTTTTTAATATTCATATCGTTCTAAACGTAACGTGACGATCGTTTTAAAAATAACGTTATCGTTATCGATATAATTTTATTTCTTTCTTTTCTACTTTTTTTTTCTTCTCGATCAAGATTCAAATTTATCTTCGATAAATAACGATAGGTCGTTCCACTTCGCGCAGGCAACAGATAAGTGTTTCCTGTCGTTAACTCCGATGATTAAGAAGCCGTCTCTTTTCTCTATTTTTCGAAGCAATTTTTGATCGTCCTGTTTCGTTAACGAGCCTCGACGCAGCCAGTCGTCGGAAGATAACGCATCCTGTGGCTGCTAGTCATGCGAGATTTTCTTGTTGCTGTATTACAGACCTGAATTTGTGGAACAAGAGTATCAGTCAACGATGGAGGAAATTGAGAAGGAGATGTTCGGTTCAGGAGACTTCGGAACCTCAGGAGGCTCTGATACAAGGCGGAACGACCCAGGGGGTTATTCAACCAGTGAGGTCCAGCCCGACTAGCAGAGAGTCTTCGCCTGCTGCAAAAAGTCTTCAGGATGGCAGTTCACCGAAGAAATTGTTACAAACTAGCTCCTTAAGACTGCCAGGTAAAATTACCTATATCCTTCTATTTACTAATATTACTAATTCCAATTACGAATTCAAATAGAAACTAACATTCGAGCCTTGTTTAGGTACCACCAAGGGTATCGCTGATATTCAGCACGTATTACGAAGCAAATTCAGTAAGATAAACGCTGGCATCAGAAAGAGGAAGGCTCTGAGCGTGACGGAAGTGTTCTCGCAAAAGGATAACGCGTCGAATTTCTACGTGCCCAGTCCCTTGACCTCCTCGAGCAGTCAAAACTTTGACGGAGAATACGATTCTAGCGAACCGACTTCCCTTCCACCCTATCCTTTCCACGACAATCTCGAGACGCTGGCAGAGGGCAGCGTGCCAAATTCTCCGAATTGCAGCAGCCCATTGACCAACAACAACAAGACGTTCACGTATTCGCAGAGCAGCAGCGCTTATGATTCTCCGGTACTGAGTCACGATCATAGCCAAAAGGACGCGTACGAGAACGTATTGTACTCGAATTCGTCTCCCGGTTGTTGCCCGAGGTCTAGGGGAATATTACAACGGAGCAATTCCGAGAATCGTGACGCTGGCAGACAGCAGGATCACTCGTACGAGAATGTTCGTTTCCAACGAGGTCATAGGTCAGAACTGACACCATCCGTCACCCCCCATTCCGACAGGCATCTGGCAAGGAGCAACTCGGAGACGAGGGATCATCATTCGTACGAGAACGTTCACTTCCAAAAGAACTCGAAGCATAGAAATCAGTCTGACTCGTCGTTCGAGGAGATTCACATACCGAGGGTGACGCCCAGAAAGAGGGTGACCGACTTCAAAGTCGGTGGACAGGTGAACAATTACTCCAACGGGCCTGGTTCCCCGTGTATGAATAAAGAAGAAGGGCCGTCCAGTTTGGGAGCTGATAGAAGCCCTGGTAAGAAGACAACCAGACGAATGAACAGCAGAAGCGTCGCCAATATTCCTAGTTCCTCCGGTGCCGGTTTGAAGACCTGGCAAGTGAGTAAAGAACGAAAAAAGATTTTTTATTGATCGTTTATCATTCATTATTTCTTTGTTACTTTTCACAGGGTACGCAAGATACGGACGAAGGCCTGAATACCGACTCCGAACTCGAAGACATCGACGAAGCTGGCGAGGGTGAAGAGTCGAGATTCTGCACCCTACCAAGGCCAGGCAAGGGTGGCGCGTCATTCACGATATTGACAGCCAGATTTCTAAAAGGTCCTGGACACAAAGGACTTGGTTTTAGTATCGTCGGCGGTACAGATAGTCCTCGAGGGAATATGGGAATCTACGTGAAGACAGTCTTTCCTAATGGCCAGGCTGCTGATCTTGGAACCGTCAAAGAAGGTACGATGCTATCGTAATTGTCATAATTCTTTGAACGTCTTAATGCAATTATCGTCGATTCGAGATGAAACGAAACACTCTGTTCCAGGGGACGAAATTTTGTCGATAAATTCGAAACCTCTTCACGGTATGACGCACGCCGAAGCTATCGCCGAGTTCAAGTCCGTGAAAGCCGGGGACGTGGTACTACACGTTGGACGTCGCGTCAACAGAAAGAAACGAGACTCCTTGACATTACCACCTGCCGGCCCGGCACCGCGTCAACAAATCAAGTGAATCGTTGATCTCCTTCTATCGCATTCCGTGTGAAAATATTACGTTTCTGTTTCGTATCTAAGCGCTTCGGATGCGCGCGAACAAAGAATTCCGACTTTTCCAAGGACCATAGCCTATGTCTGCGAAGATATTTTTCTTTTATTAGATACTGTTAATGACGTGAGCGGGTCTGCGTTGACCCTGCGCAACAACGAACCAATCTCATTTTTCACCATTTTTTGGTAACCATCTCGGTTGTGCACGTGCGTTTCAGAATGTGTTTGGCATAGCATCGCTTCGTGAGCAGATATCACGAGGAAGATTACATTTTGCATTTGTTATTTTAGCGTTTATTGTTCGAGGCGCCCTGTGTCGAGGGTGATGCGATTAAAAAGTTGCGAGACGGTTACTCATTTCGGCGCCAATTCGTCGCGTATTTGAGCTTCGCGCGGCGAAAGCAGTTCAAAGCGGTGAACCGGAGAAGTGTACGATATACCGACAAGGCGGTGCTGTTGAAAGAGGCTTAAGCTCGTGTCTGTATCCGCGGAAGTATTTTCGAAAATCCAATGGTAAATTTATCGAGAGAGGTTCCTACTTTTTGCCAATAACAAAGATCCTATGATCCTTCGGATAGAAGAGGTAAAGCGAGACGGTCTCGAGGCGAAGATAGCCAACGAGCTATAGACAAATCAAAGATGGTATAATCTTATAATATCGTACTATTTACTCGTATTCGATGTATCAATATGTCTAATCTCGATAACGTTTAATTATTCTATTAATAATCACTGAAGTTACTACTAGCGTTATCAACTGTTTAAGGCTCAAGCCGCCTTCCTACTTTTTTCTCGTATTCAACTTTTTACAAGCATAGAGCGTATTTTTGTCAAAATTTATTCACGTTTTAATCCTCGCACGGAGTCTATTTTTTCAAAGTGATCTCGATGTTGAAATAACGAAACCGCGCGAACGCGGACAAGCGAAAAATCCGAGTCCTCCGGTTCGAGTAGCTAACAAATTACCATTTATTTTTGTAACGCGTGTGAGTCGTCATGGGAGAGAACGAAATCTGTCGCACGAAACATCGAACGTACGTTGATCTATCAACGAATCGAGAGAAAACAAAGCTAAAGGAAAACAAATGTAAAAGAGTGATGCTCTTGTCGTTCAGGGGCGCTGCAATCTCTGAAATGGCCTGATCGAAGGGACGCGCATAACAGGATGTCCAATTTTCCACGTTGCCGCGAGCAAGGTTCGAATTATTTTTTAACTACCTTTGCATAGAGTAACGATGATCGCCCAAAGATGAAACCCAAAAAATATTTTTACTACGAGAAGAACGAGTCGTGTCAAACGGAGAAACGCATATCTATAGATTAGAGTGTGTGTATATATATATATATATATATATACACGTATAGTATATATATATATACTATGTATATATACTATATATATATATATATATACATTATATATATACATTATATATATATATATAGTATATATATATATATATATATATATATATATACACACACACACGTATGTAGAAATATATATTTTGACGAATCGAATGAGATACGTTTATTTTAAGGCAAAGAGATTGTTATTAGTATCTAGTCCATCTATAATATCTTCCGTTTCATCAGAAACATTTCGATTCTTTTCCTTTTCTTTTTTACTCTTTCCTCTTATCTTATTATAGGTATCGATATTGGGAAAATAAGCGAGAAAGAAAAAAAAATAAATATATATATATATATACACATACATATACCTATCTGTACGGTGATATAAGTATAATTATATATTTCTTATATCGATTTTTCAAAGTGTAATGAAGCCAACGTGAGCGATCAATAAATTGGACTTGAAGGTATCGCCTGTCGGACGATGTTATTTCTCGATAATATATTTCATGACTGTGTTGTGTATCTATGTTGGAGAATCTGAGTCTGGTTTGTTGCCCGTGGAGCGGTTAATAATTTTAGAACGAATGCAAAAAGACTTACTTATGTAAGATTCGAATTATTTAACACTTTGATAGAACGATAAATTGGAAAGGAAAATTTGACCAAACGAACTTGAGCTCCAAAGTAATAAACAACGGTTCGAAATAACAAACGAAAAAAGATAAATTGGCACTCTTCAAACCCGACAATGAATTTCAATTTCTAATCTTCGTCGTTCATTTTCAATCTTTTACAAATTGCGAAATATTACTTATCTAATATCCAATTAAATTACTCGAGGTCGATAAAACTGAGTAAACAGAAACAACGAGCGGTTTCCTGCCTCGGCAATGTTCCTTCTCATAAAAACATATGTAAATATGCAAATTAACGAACGACTATACTTAGCGATTAGCGATAATTCTCAATTATGATAGTAAAAACGATGTAATTTGTTATCGAAATCCCTTTGTGTTCATTCCTGGACAATTCACATTTGCCGCGTCAAAATTCTCTTCATGGAGATCCACAAAGCTGCAATGGCACGTAACATTCCTGAAATCGTGAAATTAACGTGGAAAAATTCATCTTCGATACTGTCACTCTCGTTCTCTTCCTTTCTTTAACTAAGAATTTCACTTACGTTAAAATTCTTTAACTAAGAATCCATATACGTAGTTGTATCAAGATCAAATCCACGCACACACACACACACACACACACATATACATACTTGGCGAATAATTTTTCTTCTTCGTCTATCTAACAGATCGCCATAAAGTTGTTGTCACTGTAATTGAAAATCCTCACTGCGAGATCGACTTGGGCAAACGTAGACAGAATAAGACGAATGTATCGAACCGTTTCTTTTTGGCTTTATTAATTTATCCGTGTCAACGATATTACAGAGAACGATTATAAAAATGTACGTTCGTAATTTCTACCCTGTTGAACGACTGATCCTATATTTGATTCGAACACGAGCTAATATTCCAGCACAATCGATCGAAGACAGTATTTCCACGATCGATCAATCGATGATCTATTAAACTCGCGCGTACGACAAAAATGTCTATCTACTGTGCACGCGTGTTAGGCAGCACGGTTATCTGTTTTACGACAAAAGAAACATATAAAAAAAATTCCATCGCTCGATGGCGTGTGTATATCTGTTTTACGATACATGTGTATAGATACAACTCGATGTTGTCGCATGGATGATACGAACTACTTGCAGGATATTACTATGTTTATTATGTTTTCTACTTACTATGCGGCATCCAAACTAAATAAATAGTTCGCATAATGGAAACGGATTTGCAGCGATCGTAATTGCATTCTCACGAAAAAGATTCACATATGGTCTTGTTTCACCTCTTCCTATTGATAATTGCGGATTATCGTCGTTTATTTCATACGGCTAAACTCGTCCGGGTGTATCCGGCGATCCTCGCAGAACCGCCAGCGTGTAGTTACTATTAGCGACACTTCGAGTAACAGAGACTTCGCGGAGAGAGGAAATAAGGTGATCACAATCGCGAGAGATCATTCAGACGGAGCTGATCAGAAAGCGGTCAGTCTTCTCGAAATGAACGAACGATATCACCGATTAATCTGGCAGAGTGTGTAGTCGTTCGTTGGTTAGTCGAATTTATCGGGAATTAATAAACAAGCAAGAGGAATAAAGAAATACGAGAGAGAAAGGAGGCAACGATAATAACTCTGCCTTAACTCGTCATGAGAATACGATCTACGTGTGAGATAGCCTAAACTCTATGTTTTAATTATAATCCTCGATCGATCGAATCGAACGAAGAACAAACACGTTTCAGATCTCGTTCACGTGCTGATGAATATTGTATGCCCTTCCGCCTCTTCTCGACTCCTTCGGCACCACGGCCAGGTGTTGCGGCTCGATCTCCATTTGCTCGATCCTTCTATCGTTCGAGCTTTTCTCCGACGAGAATAATTCAGAGGGTTTCGAATAAACGAACGTCGTCTCAGCTCCGTTCGATTGGCCAATCGTAGCTGAACCCTTCAACACGTTGTCTTGCGCACTGAGCAGTTGCTTGAATCGTTCGTCGTTCTTCTCTTCTTGATCCCAATGAACTCGAGCAGACCTGGAAGTTGTGGATGGGATGGCACGTTGGCTGCTTGCTTCTTGATGATTGTTCCTGTTGGTCAGGTTCAGTTTTGGATTCAGATTAAGTCCAAGCCATTGAGAGAAGAGAGCTATCCCTTGTTCCGCGCTGGCTGAAACCGCTGCTATGAATTCCTCCGTGTTCAACGAATCCTCCTCGTCCTCTGTAGTCTCGGTGGTTTCCGTCGTCTCGATAGTGCTGCGAGGAAATTCCAGTTACGAGGAATTAACGATAAAAACGTTCGTAGTCGAGCTACGATGGCGGTCGAAAACGAATGAAACGACACCTCGTAATTGGATACGCGTCTCGTGTATCGTTCGCCAAACAGTTTTCAAAGATCGTACTCACGCAGGGGCTTCGATCTGTCGCACCACCTGATTGAAATTGAAGCATCCCATGTGGTAAGTGGCTTGCGGTGTGCCCAGCAGTGCGGGCTCGATTACCAGGCAACCGTCGTAACCAGCTTCCGCCTGCTTAATCGACGTAAATTTCGCGCATATTTGCGCCAGATCTGACAGAAGGTTCATGCAGGTTGGCCTGTTGGATGCGTCCACTGTAAAATGTCGTAAATGATACTAACTTCTCTTTGAAGCTGCCTAAATATAATAAAGGAATATTCGTCACATCTAACTGTAGAATAGAAAATAATTCTGTCATTCATTACCGATCTTAATGGTAGCATTGTGTACGGGATTATCGCCGTAGCTGAGGTTCAACGAGATATTCTGCTCCTTCTGCTTGATGTTGATGCACGCTCGACCATCCAAGTCGTCCACCACGAGACCACCACCGATCGCCGTCGTCAGATTTAGATCGATGCAACACAAACAATTGGAAGTTTGACAAAGACATTGCGACTGCGGCGCGGTTGATCTGCCCACGGCGTCCGGAATATCCCAGGAAAGTAGCGTCTCTGTCGTGAGAAAAAATACAAAGGCGCATCAGAGAAACTCGACAAGAGAAATGGGATCAAAACGAAAGTCGTCGATCGAAAGTCGACGAAAAATATCGTCCCCGATTTCCATCCACCAGTCGATATTCTCGAAAATTTCTCTCGGCGCGTGTTGACATCGTTTCGATTTCTCTACGCTCTACGAGCTGCCGAACCTTCCTCCGCCGAAAGGCTTTGTCATTCTCTCCTCGAAACGACAAACAAAGTGCGCGTATCGCAAAGTGTGTCGCGTCACACTCATGCGTCAGAAAGATGCCTCTATCCGCAAACTTTCTCGCGTTACTGGGACAAGTTACCGACATCTTACGATCCGCGATAGAAGGTAAAACACGGAACAATGAATTCTTTAAGTTAAAAAAAAAAAAAAAACAGAAAATAAGCAGTTCTCGATCGAAATAACGAAACGTGAAGCCGATCGAGAAAAATGGCCGAACGTAGCACGCGCCATCGTGTTAAAAAGCGAATTATCGCAGAAGAGGGCCGCGATTGGTATGCGAACGTCGAACTTTTGTTTACCAGCGCGTCACGAACGTCGGCGTACGTATTTTCAGTCACGAACGTCGAACTTCCGACGTTCGTTGCTTGGAGAATGTCCAATGGATACTGCAAAAAACCGCGAGAAACGTTTCCACGAGAGCGTAACTAATCCGTGTTGCTCACCGAGCAGTCCAGCGGAAGACACCACGACGACGGCGGTGGTCAACAGCACCAGAATCGTGAACCTGACGGCCATCACCAACAACAGTTGTTTCCCAGATATTCGTACAGGGGCGATGAGTCGATTTTCGCGATGAACTATCGCTGGAAACTCGTGGACAGAAACTCCAACAACCAACTAGCAGCTGTCAAAAGGACTCGCGCGTCGAACAGGCCTGGAGATCCTGCCCAGCAAGGAAGCAGCTTAAATCTGGGCACAAAGCCGGGCGCGGGTCTCGGATCGGTGATCGGCTGGCGGTCGGCACGAAAACTGGCGACAGGATTCGCCACAGCGACGATGAGGTGCCACGCCATTGGCCGAGGTGCGGAGGTAACAACGGGCAAAGAACCTCATCTGGGTGACCGGGTGACCTCCTTCGGCAACCTGGTACCAGGAGAACTTACGCGACTGTCCTCTCTAGCGATGCTCGGTTTACTCATTGGGGGGCATCGACAAAAACCACGGTGATCTTCTTTTCGTATAGTTAGGATGTCGTTCAGAGCACATCGGTAAAGGCAATCTCTTTTTCCCTGCGTTTCTTTCTATCAGAATTTTCATCGCCCCAACAGTCCGACGATTTCCTTCATTCGCTGCGATGCGAATTGTTTCTTCGGATTTAGCAATGGATAAAAGTGAAAATTCCCGATCAAAGTGGCAAAAATCAGTTTTTTACCAATGCGATTGAAAAACCAAAATCTAAATAAGGACTTTGGTATCTAGATATTATAAGAATATATTTCTATACACGTCAATTCTCCACGAATGCATAAAGATCCACAGTCTAATAATAACGTCCGTTTTCTTTCCTTGCTTCTCTAACCTGAATCGTAACGAGTGTAATGACAGTAATACGAGATTAACGAGACCACGATCACCATACTTCTCCGAGTATTCTTCTTTTTCCGGTAATTATATTTTCATCGGCCATGTCTTTGACTCGTAATATTCTTGGCTTTCCCTGATCGATCGCGCAAATACGGAAATAAATAGATTTGAAACGAAAGGAGAAGGAAAAGCGTACGCATGGTTGGCCGCGGGCAAACAGAATCGTCGTTCCGCTTGGACACTTGGTGAATCGCGCCACATATATATTACGTATATGCAACTACTCTATATAATATATTTCGATATCGTTATTTTTGCGGACCAAAGGACGCAAGAAGATGAACGGTAGCGATACGTCTGACGATTTATTAAACGTCCGCTCGATACTTAATTTCCTGTTTACAAACTGCAGGCTGCTCCCGATTGCATTATGTTTTCGAAACGAACACCAGCATCCGAACAGATTATCCCTTGACGTTACGTAAAAACTCGTTTCCCTTGATGACCCACATATCCTCGGCGTCGTTCATCTCGTCGCACCTTTTAGAAGCCCAGAGGACCATGGACCCCATTATCTTAAAATACACCAGAGTCGAACGTGTGCATCCCCGACAATAATTATCCAGCCTTCCGCAACGTTTGACAGCCTGAATTCCATTGTGCAGTCTTCATACCGACGAACAAGTATTAACCAAGGTAAACCACTCCTGACCGCTACTTTCTTCGACCCACTAACCGGAGAAAGGCCCCATCTCGACCATCAAAACACGCTTCGGACTGGCTATCTCGGTTGATTTTATCAGCGAACGTTTGTCATCGTTTATGATACTTGAAAAATGTCACGATACCAACTTGATGGCTCGCGACTTTGCCAGGATAAATCTTCCGGCTGAATGGGTAAATTTTGGCTAAGTAGGTAAAGTCTATAAATAAGAATAAAGGTAGGAGATTCGTAAGGCTAATCAGTTGGATACGAGACCAACGACCAGTTTGAAGGTCGGTGAAAAGGTCCGATAATTGTAACGTAGTAAGAGCGAGTTGCACGCTGGACGAATAAAGAATTTCCGGCATGCTCATTGTGGATGCACCGCGATTACCTCGAGACAACGTAACTTTATGGCGATAGAAATTTTTGCGAAGTGGGACTGTCTATTACAGACGTCGTGATCGAGGTTTGTATTATACCGTCCAAACATGCTTGAAACCTACATAAACGTTTACTGCCATTTGTATTACAATTTAACGCGTTGACTATCGTCAACAGTGACCCAAGATGCTAATTTTCTCTCTTCTTTTTTTTTTTTGGATGATTAAAATGAGATAAACTTCGCTAAAGAATCTCGATTAAAGAAGAACGACGAGAATGATTTAACTAGATAACCATGTTAGAAAACAGTGCGCAGATACGACATAATATTTTACAAAAATGAAACGTTACGATGCAGTATATTTCTTAAAGAGGAGAAAAAGAGGAAAAGGTAATTCAGACGAACTATCTTCTATCTGTTATAAAAAGCCATTATTGCTTTGGACGAGTAGGTTAATAAACGTTACATCACGTCGATTCGATGTACATCACGACGCAAATTGAAATTCATTCGAGGATCAGAAACAAGAACTTCTCCTTTCTGATTTCGCGATCTCGCCGTGTTATGAGATGAATCATCGTGGTACCGTTCGAGAGTAAGTCTTTCATCGAAGATGAAAGGTCGCTAGCATTTGGCTCGAACGTACTTGACCCTGGTATCGGTTCAAGGCAAAACGAAAAGCCGCTTTGATTTTCAACGATGCAACGTGGAGAATCCGATTCGAGGAACCGATTGGGGGAGATCGCACACGATCGGTATACTATACCCTGGCTGGTAGGGAATCGTTGTCTTATTTACCCAGAGCGAATTAGAATGCTTAATAATCGTAGCCTCGGTCGAGACAGGTGGTGGTGGCTTGACCGACTTTTAAAGAAACCTTGGGGGGAGTTGGGCGGCATCTTCAGTTAGACATTGGCCTCCGCAAGACGAAGAGTCGGAAAAAAGAGCTGAAGGGTGCGACGAAGAGAGACGTCCTTTTCCAACGATCCTCTTCACTTCTATACGAAATTTTCGTCTGGTATATACTTTCTGTCAGTAGCACAGGTCAGTGAAAAATGGTTTTCTAGTTTCGTTAATTTCTTCCTCTTTTTCACCGAGACGCTTTCAGTTTCATCGTTAATGGAAATAGCGCTCTAATCTAATCTAATTCTAATCAATTCTTTATCTCTGATTCTATGTAATGTAGGCTTCTCATTGTTCCAATTATACCCGAGACTTTTAACTCGATCGAAGAAGTTCAATTTTCTGTCACGTTATTAATCGTAGTAACAAAGTCCGGAAGGATCGGACACATACCTACGCGTACCTGATCACCGTTTCTCGTGACGTGACCGCATATTGTTCCGCACAAAGCTGACTGACGCGTGTGCTTCCTGAAGCGTTGTTCAGGTACCATCCGAACGGTGAACTTCTTGCAAGAGACGTCTTTGGCCGTGACCGTGATTTAGGTCAACCGGTCGCAGACAAGAAGTTAGCACGCGTCGTGACGAGCCCATTAGTCGAAACAAGAGGAAAAAGTCGTTCCTCCTACGAGTTCGCTGCTCGAAATGATTGGACCCGTCGGAGGATCAACCGCGCGTTTCACCCTTTGCCGAGCTATCGTTAACGAGCGTGAACACGTGGTCGTATTGTTCACGGATCTCTAACATCCGGCAGTTCTGCGTGACAGCCGACGTTCCGTTAGCTTCCCTCTATTTCGGATCTGTATCTGCTCGGTTTGCTTTCAGAAACGAAGACAGCATCGTTGATAAACCTTGATTCATAAGTCTAATAAATAATAATTATTCCGTTTGAAAAGGGTAAGGAACAAAGGAACAAAGCTTTGTAAATCGCCAACAGGAAACGGTGTACCTATTGTCCTCGTTAAAATTTACTGCAATCGCTGGCTAAGAGATAGCGTATCGTTCGTAGCGCGTTGAATATCAATACGTTTCGATACAAGATCTTCCCTTTGTGCAAAGCCGAGTGACAGCGGTAGGAAAATACGGAGAATGTCAAGCGCATGGCTCACCTTTGCGAGCGTACGATGCAAACGATGAATATTCGCGTCCGTGAACCTTTAGGCTTTGTCGATTTAAAAACTTCGTAGGATGTACTCGTGTCATCGTCTTACTTTGATTTACAGGACAAGAGCGAAGATGCGGCTGTCGATGGTGGTCGAGTTGTTACTGATCGTCCTCCTGATCGCGTTCGCCGCTTACGGCAGAGTGATCGGTAATGATTTTCAAGAGTTTCCACATTGTTAACGTCAATTCTTGTAATGGCCTGGTAATTTCACGTGACTTCCTTGCTTGTAGAAAGGAAACGTTTATTGAAGGATTGAAGTTAATAAGAGATATAATTTCGAAGGATGAAGTCACTTCTTTTAGAGGTCTAACGAACGTAACTTAAAAATTGTGTTCGAAAATTACATGTTCCTACGTAACACGGTATATCCTTGCTAAAACGTACAATTACTCACGGTAGAAAATAGATTCGGAAAATTTATTTGCTTCAATTTTCTCGCGCTCCCTGTTCCTGAAAAAGACAAACGTGCATGTATATACGCGATGAATTTATTAATTCCATAGAGCGCGATGAGAAAGCAGAAGATAGAGCGATCAGGGATGTAAGCGGTTCTGAACAGAGTAACGTCGGTATATCGACGTTATCGTTGAAACAGGCAACCGACAACGTGAACAGATACTGCACTTGCAATGAGAACATATGCAATTGCTGCAGAGACTTCCATATACCGTTGGTGCAATTACAAGGACCAGGTAAGCGTTGTGTTATTTAATTGAACGTAATAGAACGCGGCCATTAGAAAGGATAGCAATAAAGGAAACGGGACGATAAACAAATGTCGCGTTGTTAGATCCTTCATAGACTATTCGTTGAAACATCGTTGCATGTAATTAAACGCGAGCATGTACACAGAGTGTCCAAGACTGATACCAGTTATCGAGACGATAAAAGGCGTCTATACAGAAACCTTAATGTTTATTTTTTAAGTTACGAACTGTCGAATCGCTACTATGATGCAATAAAACAAAAAAAAAAAAAAATACTTTTAATATTGTCAATATCGCGAAAATAGTAGTTTTGCGACACTCGGTGTTGTACGATGTTCGTACGAAGCTTGATAGAAAATTTTTTGGATGAATCGCAGCACAACATATCGGGTTGGCAACTTGCTGAAATAGACCAAGATAAGGATTGCATACCTAAATATTTTTACGTACATGAAAAAGTCCGTGTGCTAGAAATGTGCATAAAAAATGTTACTAAAACGCCTCGATTATCCGCGATAGTACATAATTAGATGGTATTCCGTATACTTGTTAAAGACTTGAACAAGAATATCGTCCATTTCAGGATGTGCATCGTTGCAATACTTGCAAGGGGATAATTTGGCGGTGCAGCTTAGCTTCGGTGATAACATTCTAACAAGCACAATCGTAAATGGTAAGTACTTGCGTCGCTCATACATTTCAGAGTCTGGAGATAGCGTCACAAGCGCCATGCAATGTCACAGATTTATCTCTATTTGAAAGCTCACGGTACAGCCAGAAAAATTATTTGCCTGAAAAGTGTGTTAATCGTTTAGCAAAACGATGTGAAAAGTCTGCCGGAATTCAGGAAATGCGTCGAGACTTTCACGACTAACGTGTACGCGCCGCACTTTTAAAAGACGAGTGCGCTTTATCGGTTCGAAAAATGTTTACAAAAAATTGAAAAACTGTGTTAAAAAGTCGATATCTCCTCTGTGTTTGTTCGCCGTAAGACGAATGCTACGTCAGAAATAAAGTATTCATAACGTATAAACATCATTCGATCGACTTCGTTCGCGTCGCGACCGTTCGAGGAGAAAGTGCGGCATACATTAAACGAATAAGGAAACACGTTCCCTAAACGATTTCTATGATTACTATGACGATCTACGATGATTTGATATAACGCTTGATACGCTATGGTGTTTTAGGAAAGAATCCAAAGCCCGTATGCGTCCCGTTACCTGGAGGGTTTACGAAATTCTGTGGAAGAATTTATTCCATTAAACGGGATGCTAAAAATCACTTCAAAGCCTGCCTTGGACTGGAATTACAATCAGCGACAGAACTCGAGGCTAGTTTACGCGTTAGCTGCTTTAGGTAATGACACTTATTTCTTAATAATATTCATTAGTCGATAACATTTTTACAAGTCATACAGAAAGAATAAAATGTTTACGCAATTGCCATATCATAGATTTGGCCCTGACGGTTTAAAGTTGCGCCCAGCAGAACCACTTCCGGTAGTGGAAGCCGAGGCTCCGGAAGAAGACGACGATGACGATTTCTTTGGCCTCGGTTCGGACGATGACGACGAAGACGACGATGCCGAGGATAATGCACCGTTGGCTAACTCCGTACCAAATTCTTCCGCGGAAGAAGACGAGGAAGAAGACGACGACGAAGATGTTCTTGGATTCGGAGCTCTATTAGATATTATAACTGGCGAAGATGAGACCGCAACGAAGAAACCAAAAGTAACAACGCCTCCGCCTCTTCTCCACTTCACGATTCCAATTCTAAGTAAGCCGACATCGTCACCAGTAGATTCTAACGTCGCAAGTAACGTTGCCACTAACGATTTCGAAGAAGACAACGAGTATAATCAAGAATCCTCGAACATGAGCGGAGAAGGCAATATCGAAATAAATGAGGAATCTGCAGCGACCGATACGACGGGTAGCGAAGCCGAAGAGATCGTTACACAGGTCTCCAATAAGATAGCTTCCTATACGAAGCCGGATAAAACACCGATTAAGAAATTCACAGCGGTTGATACGAGTACGAAAAAACCAAGCATCACGAGCTCCAGCATCAACGCAATCGAAAATGAAACGAACGAGAAGAAGAAACCCTTGAGGAAACCGATTAAGGGCGAAGAAGACGACGATGACGATATTCTAGGAGATAGTCTAGACGACGATGACGACGACGACGATGAGGATGAAGAGATTTTAAACGACGACGACGATGATAACGAGAAGGACAGCGAAGCAGAGGAGGACGAAGATGAGAAGGTTGACGGAAGTGAACACGAGAATCACGAGGACGAAGACGAGAAAGGCGAGATCGAAGATTTAGATGACGACGACGACGAAGAAGATGCAGTGATCAGCGCGTTGGTTTATGACGAAAAAGAGAATGGAAAGAAGAAGGGCAAAGTGAAGAAGCATCACCAGTCTTCCGAAGCTTACGATGATGACTCGGATTATGAATTAGGCTTGACCGGGCTTTTGGCAAGAAGCAGGCATTCGAGAGACGATCGTCAGAGCAAAGAAATGAGATTCTAAGTCTTATAATCATGCTCGTCCCGTTCTATACACGTATAGACTAATCAAAAGAAACCGTGAGACGATAGTTTTCCAAATAAATCAATCGATTATCGGCGAAGATTAAGTCCAAAGTTTAAGTAATCGTTCAAGATTGGACTTCTTTGTTAAATCGAGGAATATATGTTAAGAAGTATGGAGACTGATAGCTTCTTTTTTTTTGATAAGAATCGTTTTATTATTTAATTGACTACTAGTAGATAACAACATATGTATAATACTTTTTGTAAAAAGCTTCTCTGCTAATGTTATTCGGACATCATGATAATAGATATGATAGAGTTATACATATTAAAATGTAACTTTTATAAAAAGTCGCCATATAGATCTGTGCAAATAATTTAATGCTATTTAAGACAGTAATTAATGTAATTTATGTACGGTCGTATAATTAATTTATTGAATCTGTAATTAAACATATACCCTTATTAAACTTATATCTGCATTAAATAAACTTATATCAGCTTATACACAAACGGTATGTACTTTTTGCATGAAAAGATTGTTCACGGAGGATTTGAATGATTTCCAGCTTTTTGTTACTTTTATCACATACGTTTTTTGAATACATCAATCGAAGCAGCTCGTTATTTTGTACAAAAAGTAAAAATCTATTTACATCGACAAATAGTAGATCAGTTACACATCGATTTTAATGATTATCTCTAAATAAACTTTTCATTCGGTAAATAATAAATAAATAATTTCGAAATATAGGTTATAAGCACAGTCAATAAATTATCCATCAGTAGGTCAAACGTTTTATCAGTAGAGATCGACAGTGCCCTACACAGAACTACAGAACTCACGCTTGAATTTCGTATAATCGATGAGCACGAAACGGTATATAAACATGGTATTACATTCCAATCGATATCATTTTGTGGGTTCAACCGATCGGCAACGCACCTTTCTCTTCTTTCTTCGCCAAAATCATGTTCAAATTGTGCAGCGTTTTTGTGACACTGCTCCTAGTACAGACAGCCTGGTGTTCTACGTCTCACGATAAAAATATTAGAGCTCTTCAACAAGGTAACCCATAATTTTTATGACAATCAAAGTGTTAAAAAGAATTTCATTCGGAAACAGATAGTAATTTTAGACACTTGGCTCGTTTCATGAGACAATTTTATACTGAATCGATTATATTTACATAGTTCTGGCCAATTCAGTGACGTACTATGACCCGAATACCGGAACTGAGCTAAACGAAGAGATAATCGATTTAAAACTAAATAATTCGATTGTTACAAAGATATATCGACGTTCGCTATGCCACTGTAAGAAGAACAGTTGTAACTGTTGCGTCGGTATTCGTTTCGTTGGTTTTAATGGCCCAGTGTGTATTAGGATTATAATCAATACAGACAGTAAAGCTATCATAACCGCAAACGGAGACCCAATATTAACGCATCGCTTTAGAAGTAAGAATTTTATTTTCTTTTCTTTCTGTATATTTATCGAACTGTGCTTTCTCACGATATATTTTAATTATAGCGCATCCACGCCCGATATGTGTTGGTCTTTCCAACCTTATAAATATTTGCGGTCAATTCGACTTTTATTATATTAATAACCATTTGCGATCTTGTACGAGCATCGATCTTCAGTTTCTCTTCCTTCGATTTTCGGGATTCCGATTTCCATGCGTTCAAATTGGCAATGACGGGATCTCTATTGCTAGTCTCGGACTGTTACCGAATCAGATTAGCACGGAGTCAGAGGATCAAGTAACCAACCCGGAAATATACGACGAAGTAGATTTCGAACAGCAGGATCTGGAAGTTCATGACAATCAGATGTCAATGTTGACTCCCGAGCAAGAGGCACAAATTGGACAATTAAAATTGCGATCACTAAGAACGAATTAATATCTGCGTAAAATGACATAGTTATTATTAACTAAAAAGTAGCGGTAATTTTATTCGTTAATTTAAAGATTAATTCCTAGTACCTATTGTTATTATTGTTATACCTATTGTTATTATGTACCTTATTATTGTAACGTAATGTATAATAATGTTGGACCACGTCTCTATGGTCATACCTGTTATCGTTTCTTACTATTTGTACCGAGACAGTATATCGAATAAAATGCGAATATTTCCAAGTACCCAAAAATCACCAAACATCTCATCAAAGCCTGCTTTAGACTGAATTTAGAATTAGCGACAGAACTCAAAGCTAATTTACGCGTTAGCTGTGTTACATCAGGTGACTCTTTACGTAACCCAGAATCCATCCCTCGATCGAGGCGACCACTAGTTGTGCAAATATAATTAGTCGGACCACGATAATCCTTAATTGTTATAAAATATATTTAAGTCGAGACGTTCCTTGTTGTTATTGCTCCATCAGGTAAAAAATGGGAAGATCGCGTTTTTCCCATGTTCAACGATCATTTCCACCCGCAAGCGACTAGTGGTGGGGCGACCAACACCCAGCAATAGTTTTCCTCTGCGATAGCATCGTTACCGAACTTCACTGGTTTATCGTCCTCAGATCAGTCAACATCTCTTCGCCTGTTGTCATCCTTAGATTAGTCTATATCTCTTGATTGGTTTTCCATCTTTAGATCGGTCATCTGTTTAACTTATATTTGTACGCACCGAGCGTATCTATCTATATCTACAAGTTGTTGCGATAAAATATATATTGTAACTTGTTACTCTCAGTGTTATAGTCAATTCAACTACCTCTGTTATCCTAACCGAATTAGGAAATCGACCACTTCGTGACGTCGATTATATTAGGTTGCCCGAAAGGTTTCTTTTGCTTTATAAGGAAATAATAGACGCAAAATGTTTTTTGTTTTATATTAGTTTATTCAATTATGCAGGAACATAATAATAGAAATAGAACATGGATCATATCTGATTCAATAGAATTGTATCGGCATATGCGTCTTAGGACGTTTCGATACGAAGATGCTTCACATAGTTGTTTAGCCACAGAGGATTAACACTGTGCGATACACATAATGTAATAAACAAACTCTGGACAAAGCAATTTCATGTTCAAACATGTTCAAACCTTTCGATATCCCCCTCGATCAGTACAAATACACGACCAAGTTCTCCACGAGTCAGTAGTAGTGCGAATGAATATCAGTATCGAATCAATCTAACGAATCAGTATAACGATTAGTATCAGTACCGCAGTATCGCGCAATCTTATAACGAGTATCATCAAGCGAGCAACGCTTCCGATTAACTTTGTATTCTACATTTTAAAATATCTGTAAATATAGTTAACGAAATCAACTCGTTTCGTTATTGATTTAATCAACAACACGTCTCAGAGTCCACCACAAAATGATATAAAACAGAAATTGTTGTTCATCTGTTATCGTAACGGGAATTTACGACTTCCGTTGGCGCGCTTCCACGCGATCGCATCTCTCCGCGAACGGTAGAACAAGCTGTTTTAGTTGATGATACGTATTTATTAATAGTATTTATTTATTGATAACATTTTTCTGTGAACTGTAGAATGAATAAAAGATATACGCAGTTGCAATATCATTGATTTGACCCTGACCCTCTAAAGCTACGTCCAATAGAACCATTTCCAGTCTTCGAAGTCGAGGTTCCGGAAGATGACGTGATTTTCTTGCTGAAGGACAATGACGAGGAAGACGATGATTCCGAGGATGGTGCACTATTGGCTAACTTCGTGCCAAATATTTCTACGGAAGAAGACGAGGATGAAGATGACGTCGAATTATTCTCGGATTCAACACTCTTAGAAGAATAAAAAAAGATCACGGCCCGCCTCTTCTTTACTTCACAGTTTCAATTCTAAGGAAACTGATATCGTTGTCGGTAGATTCTAGCGTCGGAAGTAACGTTGTCGCTAATAATTCCAAAGAAGACAACGAGTATAATCAAGTATCCTCGAATATGAGAGAAGAAAGCAGTATCGAAACAAATAACAAGTCTGCAGTCACCGATACGACGGTTAACGAAGCCGAAGAAATCGTTAAAAAGGTCTTCAATAAGATAGAGTCCTATGCGAAGCCGGATAAAACACCGACCAAGAAATTCACAACGTCGGATACGAATGCGAGGAAGCCTGGCATCGCGAGCTCCAGCATCAACGAAATCGAAAATGAAACGAACGAGAAGAAGAAACCCTTGAGGAAACCGATTAAGGGCGAAGAAGACGACGATGACGATATTCTAGGAGATAGTCTAGACGACGATGACGACGACGACGATGAGGATGAAGAGATTTTAAACGACGACGACGATGATAACGAGAAGGACAGCGAAGCAGAGGAGGACGAAGATGAGAAGGTTGACGGAAGTGAACACGTGAATCACGAGGACGAAGATGAGAAAGGCGAGATCGAAGATTTAGATGACGACGACGACGAAGAAGATGCAGTGATCAGCGCGTTGGTTTATGACGAAAAAGGGAATGGAAAGAAGAAGGGCAAAGCGAAAAAATATAACCAGTTTTCCGAAGCTTACGATGATAACTCGAATTACGAATTAGGCTTGGCCCGGCTTTTAGCAGAAAATAGGCATTCGAGGAGTAATCGTCACACCAAAGAAACGAGATTTTTAGGTCTTATATTCATGCTCGTCCCGTTTTGTATACGTATAGAATAATGAAATAATCAAGGAACGATATTTTCCGAAATCGATCAGTCGAATGTTTAGTAAAGACTGCCGTTCAAGATTGTTAGGCCTCTTTATTAACTCGACTTATCATTGTTAACTATGTTAAAAAGCGGAAAATCTGATAAATTCTTTTGTTATCATAAATCACTTTATTTCCTAAGTAATTAATGATTTTGAAAAATTGCTAATAGATAACAACCATTCAATACTTGTTGAAGGAGCTCACGCACAAAGATTACTAATGGATTTTTTACGTTAAAAATGTAAATGATTAGGAAAATAATAAGGAATATACTTCTGTGTTTGATAAATATATTGGGTCTGTAAATAAACGTATTAATTAAACATTTTATTATGTAAAATCCGATTTTAATATGTAAATATAAACTATGTAAATTACTTACTGTATGGAAAAGTACCTCAGATAAGATTTCATTTATTTCGATTTTTGTCGTTAATTTTTTTGTAGGTTGTACGTAAAAGTCATATAAAGATCACATACGTTTTTTTTTTTAATAGAATTGTATAATTTTGAACGCAGTAATCGATGCAGCTCGTTATTTTCTACGAAAACGTACGAATCTACTTATGTTGACAATCACTTCAGTAGTTATGTTTTAACTTTAATTTTTTTCTCTAAATGATTTTTTTGTTCAGCAATTAATTAACGATGTAGTTTGCGATAACAGACAAAAGTCAGATAATCATAATATCTACATATAGAGATATTTATAGTATAATATACACTATAAGGTATAACATAAGTATAGTATGTATATATATGTATATATATGTATACAGCATGGCGTATATTTATATATGTATTATCTATAAGTCGTTCAAATGATTATCAATCAAGATAATCAATACTTAACAAGTACTTTTTATACGTGCGTTTGTAAAAGTCACGTGCTGATTTCATCTAATCGATGAGCACGAAGGGATATATAAATATGGGATTCGACTCAAAGCAATCAAATCACATTTTGTGAAATCGTAATACACCTTGCTTTTCTTCTTTCTTCGCCAAAATCATGTTGTTCAAATTGTTGAACATCTTCGTGACACTCCTCCTGGTACAGGCTGCTTGGAGCGCTGCGTTTCACGATGAAGATATCGAAGCTTCTCAAGAAGGTAACAAATAATTTTTACGAAAGTCAAAAAGTTGGAAAGAATTTAATTCAGTAGTAGATAGTAATTTTAAGCAGTCGGTTCGCTTCATAGGATAATTTTATATCGAATCGATTAAATTTTCGCAGTCCAGTCCGACATAGTGTCGTATTATGATCCGTACACCGGAACTGAATTAGATGTAGACACGAGCGATGCTCTTGTTGCAATGATACAACAACGTTCGCTATGCAAAAGTGAACAGAACGGTTATGGCTGTTGCGTTGGTGTTCATGTCAAAAAAATGAAAGCTTCAATATGTGCAAAACTTACAAACGGTAACGACCCTAAGCTTGAAATAACCGCAAACGGAAAAACGATCTTCTCGCATTCCGCGAAAGGTAAGCTTTTTTATTCCTGTTTCTCATTCCTCTATACTTGTATATCAAACGGTAAATTCTCATGATATATTTCACAATTGTTGTAGCGAACACACCTGAAATGTGTGGTAACATTTTCGAAGGAGTAAAAGTTTGCGAACAAACACAAGTCTCTGTTGTTAACAATGGTTTACGGGTTTGCGCGAACATCAGACTTAAATACGCTTTCTTTAAGAGTCACATAAACATCCCATGCTTTACTATTGGCAAACATGGTATCTCCGTGAACAATTTCGCACAGTTAGAGAATCAACAGGAAATGGAATCGAAAATGTACGACGAAGTAAATTTCGAGCAGTAGACTCTGTCCAATCTGGATTATGACAACTACGTTCCAACGTTAGCTTCTAAGCAAGAGGCATAAATTGGTCAATTAAAAATATGAATACCAGAAATGAATTAATATCGGTGTAAAATTATATAGTTATTATTAAGTATAAAATTGTAACAATTTTATTCGTTGATTTAAAGATTAATCTATAGAATGTATTGTTACCTTATCAGTATAACGTATAATAAAGTTGAACGAAATCGGCATAATCATACCTGTTATTCTTTTCTTGCTGTTTGTACCAAGCCAGTATATCGAATAAAACTACGCGATAAATAAATGATGTCCTATAAGAACCTTGACACGAGCTATGATTTTTTTTTATAGCATGCACTCTCAATCTTTCGTGTGCCGATAGCTCGTCGCTTTTTTTCCTTAATCAGATTAGCACGGCGATCCAGCAGGAAATAAAACGCGTGCGACCAGTACGAAGTAAACCTAAATTTCTCCGTAAAACGAGGTCAGAATGAGATATCCGTTAACTGACCAGTCGAGTGTCGAACGTTCAACAAGGAGTACTATCCATCTCACGAAGAGATGTTCTTCCGTAGTCATTGAATCCGGCATCGTTAAGGACGCGAGATGAGGGCTGCCTGTTTGCTACTCTTCTTCGCTGTTCTTTGCATTCAAAGCTCCTTGCAACGGATTAACAAGAGAGCTTCTGATTCGGAGAGAACGTTAGAAACGTCCGTAGACAATGATATATTGGCCGTTACGAAAAACGGCGATTCCAAGAAGAATGAAGAAGATTGGAATACAAAGAAATTACAAGAATTGCTGAAACAAGTGACGAATTCTACGTCGAACACCACGACTCAGGTGACCGCCACGAAACAAGGTCCTTGTCAATGCGGAGGAGGTGTCTGCGGTTGTTGCTCTAGAATTTTATTCGACACTTGGAAACAGAAAGCATGCGTGAATGTGACGTACGATCCGGATGAGTTTAGCTTTACCGCGAAGATTTCGATGAATAATAGAGTTCTGTATACAAGAACCATATCTGGTATGTTTAGTCACAACGTATAGGATATTTAAATTTCAGCCGTGTTTTAAAAAGATAACTTTAATTTCACGAGCATTTCAAACGTTTCAGGAAAGAATCCTCGGCCAATATGTGTGCCAGTGCCACGAATTCCAATCGTTAAAGCGTGTGTTCGATTTTATAACATTTATTTCCAGGGCAGAAATATTCATGCGTGTATAAATATGGAGGGAAAGTTTCAAGATTTCACGATATTTAAGGTGAGCTGGATTTGACGACCGGGGATAAAGGGACGTCTCTTTCTCAACGTTTTTACGAATAATGCAAATATTTCCAGGTCGGATTAGATTGCATTAGATTCGGTGTAAACGGTTTGGCTCTGGTAAAGCCAGAGGACGGAGGTGGATTAGGTCAAATAGAATTCTTGCCAGGTGATGACGATGATGAGGATGAAGACGATTATGATTACGACGACGACGACGACGATGACGACGATTTACTTGATTTCTGAGGAAACCTAAGATTCTGTTCGTGACAGTCGCGAAGGACTTAATAGTACAATTACGCATTCCTACTGCCATCGTATGGCAGCAATCATTATTTATTATATTTTCTTTTTATGTTTAAGAGCGTAACGCAACGATCTGTTCGTAAACTAATAGTCTGATGATTGTCAACGAGTTCGGTCATGTTTTATAATGTAACTTTGCGTCGTTCGAAACATCGAATTAACTGCTGAATATCGTAATGTACATTATCAAGAGACGAATAAATAGATGTATTTGAAACCTACTTTTTTTTTATTATACCTCGGTAATTACATCCTGTGTAGCAACCACCGAGTCGAAACGATATTGTTTTGTGGAACGTCGATCGTCGATGTCGGTTAGTATAACTATGAGAGATGTAACGTATCCATGTAACAGAGGTAAAAGAGGCAGTGCTGTAAATGTGCCACAGTGAAAAAGTCCATTGAAAGGTACTAAGCATGAATTCCAAAGTATGTGGCGTCCTGATTTCATTTTGGTTACGTTTAATTTTTTTTTGGACGGTTGGTGCTACGGAAGGAAGTCAGTTTTTTATTTATTCTCTGTTTCTGTTATAAAAGTTAAGTTTCACATTTTTAAATAAAATGTTTATTAGGAATCCCCGTATCTAAAGGGTTCTTGGCTTATAGAACTGTTCAGACGTTTCAGACATATTGTACCTGTAATACATCTTATTCTTGCTCCTGCTGTCAAAGTGTTTTTATTTTATACACCAAAGCTGAAAAAAAGCGTAAGTTTTTAGTATAATTAATTATTTTTTTATTGATCGTTTTCGAATCTTCTTATTTCATTGACGGGTTTCGATCACTTTGGAATCAATGGCTCAACTATCTCTTCAAAATTCTCTTTATCTCGTGCAGTTTGCGTTAATCTTACTTATCAAAGAAATGGGCTAAATATTGATGTGGCGTTGAACTCCGATACATTAAGAAGTAGAACAATCACAAACTATAAGCCATTAAAGTTCTGCACTAATATACCAGGATGTTACTTTTCATCTGCATGTGTAAATATATTGGAACTCAATAAATTTCCCAGGTAAAACACACTTGAATGTAATACTTAAAGATGTCATATAATTCTCATTAAATTTTTTTCTTATATTTGACTCAAAGATCAATCACTGCTTGCCTTCGACTGGATATCTTCTCTAAGAAACGACTATGGCAATTAAATTACGACTGCGTTAGCATATCGATGGAGTTGCCTACAATACCAGGTAACGGAACGACGTCGACGACAATGAACGCAGGAATGACATCGGCAATGAGCACTCAAACGACGACGATGAGAGCGGTGGAAACTGAAGAAACTACATCAACGGATGTAGAAATAATAACAGTACCAGGAAGTAGACCAACAACAGTCGTAGATATTGATTAACTAAATATTATAAGAAATATGACAATATTCTGTAGATTACTCCAAATACTTAATTAATAACTGGCTTAGATATAAAGTTCTTGAGAAGAAATGATAAATTATACCGTAGATGTAGTTAATTAAAAACTTTAAAAAATAGATTGTTTTATTGTTTATTAAAAATACGCCTTATACGCCTACACATAATAGAAGTTATCGTTTTCTTTCAAATTTCCATTTGTAAACGGGAGCAGCATCCTTTGTTCCTACGCTTATTAGTTTTGGTTTAGTAATTTTTTTATCTTTTAGTGCTCTTTGCATTTCTAATTTTTGTTGTATAATAGTCAATTCCCTTTCTCTCTCTATCCTCTTTTGTAATTCTTTGTAAGCATTGTGTTTATCACTTTCAATTCTTCTCAAGCTTGCCTCATCTATGTCTGATAATTTCATATCTTTTAATTTACTTAATTTTGGTCTGTTTGTGCGTCTGGATATCAATGCTGGGTGTGTATCCAGTTTCTTAGCAAGATCAAAGTTTTTGACTTCCTCCAAATCGTCTACAAAAAAGGTATGTTTATTCTTGGTTTCATTTGCAGCATCTATCATATGCAGTTGACTCTGAAGCTTATTTATTTTCTTTGCTTCTATGTTTCTCTTGTGAGCAATGTATCTAATATCTTGCGTCTCCATTAGCTGTATTTGTTCCGGTGTATGATTTTTACGTTTTTTCTTTTCTTTATGAACACCTCCGCTAATTTTGGAATTGATCATATGAAAATAAAATTCATCTGGGTTTTTGTTTAGGGCACGTCTACGCAAAAGTTTTAAAGTTTGTTGTTTTTCTTGATAATTTTTGGCTCTAGCAATATAATCTTTCTTTTTCTCCAAAAGACCCAAGTGCTTGCGAGTCTCTGGTTGATGTCTCTCGCGATGAGTCTTCTGTGTGGCTTTTGCTGCTTTCTTCCATGAAGACATTGTTAAAACTAAAAGGATTAGAAAGAATATTTTTGATAAATCAAAACGAAAAATACTTAAGCAAATCTATACGTAAGAGTTTAATGGTAATACTGTCTTAAACAAAGGTGTAACATACCCAGACACAACACACGATTAAATTAACAAGAAATTTTTCTTTAAAAGGAAATTATAATGTTGTCGTACAGTGGCTGTCGTAACACTAAGAAACATAACCTCAAACATCAATCGATCGATACGATACCAGTTGCAGCAGCGCCATAGGAGCTAACGAATTCGAATCACACCAGGAGCATACTTAAATAACAATCTTATTTATTAAAAAGCAGGCAAACTTTACGATACTTACGATACTTTAAACTTCAAAATAGAAAAATAATCTACGATATTAATGAAATAAATACAGTACGCATAAAATGTTACAATTACTTTAATTGAAATACTAAGTGCGTTAATTTAATAAACGAATATACACCAATACAATAACACAAAAATATATTCCAATAAAAAAATTTTTTTGTATAGAGAATGATATCGCTGGAATTCCAATTATTATCGACTATCAATCGGTTTGCGTAGATTGGTGGGCTCTATCGGGAAGAGGTAGAACTGTGTTTCCAACCGATAACGATCCCTGATGGAAAACCTGAGTTTCCGACGATACTCCTCTCTGAGATGTAAGTTGTCGATTGTTTCGCATTCTCGCAATCGGTTCTCGCCCTTTAATTTTATACCATCCGCGGTGTCGTTTCGCAACAGGACTGCACAATTCATTCTGAGGGACAGTGAATTCCGTTGACGGTTGCGGTGGAGGTGCATTTTCGATATCATCTCTCAGTCGTTTTCCTGATTTTTGTAAAAAGGAAGATGCGAAATTTGATAAGGAACTTGAGGCCTCTGAAGTGGAGGGTATCGGTGCAACGCTTTCTTTTGGAAGAACTTGTTCTTTTTCGACATCCTTGTAAGAACCGATTGCTAAAAATTAATTCAATTTATTTTCTTTAAAAATACGACTTTTAAAAAAGACAAGTATACATACCCAAATTTTTCATGACATTTCTCACTGCGTTGGCGACCGCGGATAAAATTCCACCGGAGTTACTATCATCCGTATTACTACTCGAAGTACTTGAATCTTTATTATCAGGACTGCTTAATTCATTTGACGAGAAGTAATAATTATGACTAGAAGTGGCATAAGAACCAACAGAACTCACCGAGTTACTGCAACCAGCGGAACTGTTGCTGTTGGTTGAAAGATTTGTATTAGAAGCGATACGTTCCAGTTTCTTTAAACTAGACTCTATCAAATCAGATGTCGTCATCTTAGAACTGCTTTCCATGACTACCATCATCACTATCCGCGAGGAATCAGCTGGCTGTTGATCGTTTCTCACATTCACTCTTTCCGGACTACGATATTCTTTTTGTATATTCTTCGCATTATCCTCGTAAATCTTGATCTGCGATTTCTCCAGAGACTCTTTCATCTCGGACAACGTGTTGCACGTTTCATAGTAGTCTTCGTTCTCCGTTACATCCATTACAACCATCGGGCTAGCTTCTGAAGGAATCTCATACTGGTCCGAAAATCGAACTTTCTTTAGAGAATCTGATCGTTTCTCTCCTTGATGCGTTTCCAGAGCTTGAGAATCTGGTAACACTTCACCCTCGACATTCGTTAATTCCATATCTTCCATGCAATTATTGTCCGTATAACGTTCACTTGTGTTACTATTATCTTTGCTCTTCATGATTCCTAGATTTTTCGATTTATCTCGGGGAAATTCTTTATTTTCCTGGTTCAATGGCAAAGAATAGAAGAGGGTTTCCTCGTGAATAGTGGCAGACGGGCAACTCATGTAATTGCTCGAATTGTCGGATTTCAAACTGCTTTTCAATGCGGAATTAGTTTTTGGTGTTTTCAAGGAGAAATTCGGAGCACTCGGTGTTTTAAAATCTAAACTCGTTTTTTGGCCGATGACCATAGGCGTACTTGTGTATCTATAAAGTTCAGGAGGAGAGGTCAATGAACCGAAGTTGCTACTGTCTTCGCACGATGCTTTTTCTTCTGAAGCCAAAGGTGGTGTATTCAGTACGGATCTTTGTTCTTTGGACACCAATGAATATCGATGTTGTGATTTCCACCATTTGCAATTGCCTCTATCTATAGAAAACAATATAAAAGATGAATTTTAATTATCAGCAAAATTAAGTGTGTAGTAACCATATTCGCATATGAATTTCCTTATGAAAAATAAAAACAAGTACAGTGATAATTACCAAACGATTCCAAATCTTTAATCTGTTTGAAAATCTCACCACACAAATAACAATACAGAGGCAAGTGCGTGATTGCTATGTGACACAGAAGAACCTTATCCTCGAGGGATTTGAACGAAAATTTCTCGTTCATACAGAATGGGCAGTTCGGTTGCCGTTTCTTGTGTTTTTTCTCTTCATGCTGTTCCCGGCATGACGCGCAGCAGAATAATTTCTTGCATACGTAACAAGTTCGGTTTGTCTACTCAATGTGAAAATTTTATGATGAATAGTAATTGTACAGGTTTAGCTCGAAAAATCTTTGAATAAATACCTCAACTGGAGCCATAGTTAGACGAGGTCAACGCAAACTGAGACGATGTAATGTTTACTACCTTATTATAGTCAACACAATACGAAGTATACATGTATAAAAACAATTCTTTCTGGTACTTGACATTTAAGCAACATAGTGAATAATTAATTGACCGGATATAGAAGAAAATAATTAAAGGAGGAATAAAAATTTAGTAATGAATAAAATACCACCTTTAAATAGTTTTTTGGATTAAGGATATGGGATAAAAACAATTCCTACGGAATCAATGATATATTTACAGAATGTTACATGTTTAAAAAAGTAATTTATCAAGTTAAAAAGTATAAAATAACACGCAAATTTTTACGTCGTATTATCTTTATTATCAGATTCATTAGATAATTGGGCAGACATTAATTGGTCAAGACCCAATATATCTTCGTTGTTATCGTCATTTTTGCTGTCTTGCAGCTTGGTCACCTTATTTTCATTTGTCTCCTTATTTTTCTGCTTCGCTTGCTTTTTAAAGTCTGCAATGGTCATGGAATTTAGATTATCTACTACTACATTAACATCGAATCTTCTAAAATCGGTATCTCTGTCCTCCAATAGAGACAATGCTTCTTCGTATGGTGGTGCAATCGGTGTTTGTACTGGCTCATGATATGTGTATTCTTTCCCTTCAAACTGAAACAAAGGAACATAGATAGTACAAAATATAATTCAACGTGAACGTGATAAATAAGAAAAGCTTACATCCAGTGGATAACACGTATCAGAATCGGGTTGACTAAGATCACCACATACAACGAATGGAACAATGACTCTGTTAACTCCTGTAAGCTCATTAAAATCACACGGCTCATGAGTCAAGAGAGGATTCAGCATATGAGGTTCGTAACCTTCAGGTGGTGAATAATCTTTACAGACTACAAATGCTTCGATGCTAGAATTGCGAGAACTGCTAGGCTTTGTACAATAAACATAGGGGAAAAATATCTTTAACTGAGCATATAGTAACGTCACATCCTTAGCTCTAAATATTTTTGCTACAAACGTGCCTCCTTTCCTTAGTATATGAGTAGTAATGTTTAGAGCTGCTAGTAATAATTGAGATTGGATATAAATGTCCATATCGTGTAAACCTGTAACTGTTAATAATTACTCTGTAAGCATTATTATAATTTATCAGTGAAAATAATACTTTAATTTAAATTTACCATCTGGTGCTCCATCGCAGACTACCAAATCAGCCTGTTCATTGTCAAAATGAGAAATAATTTGCTTCGCGGTGTTAATGTTGGTAATGTCTCCTTGAATTTGAATCACCCCTTCTATGGGTGCCATCGCTTGTAAATCAACCGCAACTATTTTTGGAGGCGTTGCATTTCCTGTTTCCAAAGCTTTTTTGTAATTCTCGCTATTCGTGAAAATATATAATCAAGATTTAGGTATCTTGCAAAAGTTGATTTCTTCTTAGAATTTTAGCAAATCGATTGCAACATACTTTAATCTTCGTGATAAAACCTGACTCCAGCTACCAGGTGCAGCACACAGATCCACAGCTTTGTTAACCCCTTTTTTCAGCCATAAACAAAAGATTGTATTTTATTTGTGCAGTGTTGGAGTCATTTATTTTTGTATACTTACGTACGTACCATCTAAAATATGACACTCGTTATCTATTTGAAGCAATTTGAAAGCGCTCCTTGCTCTCCATCCTTCTTCTTTCGCTCGTCGATAATAAATATCTCGTTTATCTTTCGATGTTTTTCCCATAGTTAAACAATGTGGAATACAATGTTTATTGTTCACTGTCGTTTCACGTTTTGGTTACTTTCAGATTTTGGGTTCCTCACGCTGGCAAACATAAAGATTCTTACAGAAACTGTATTTCTGAGTTCTAGCATTAATCTGTTGGTAACACTAAGAAAATAACCGCCAAGTTCAATATTTGTTCAGTCAGCGTTCATTACTGTACAAATACGACTAATATTTTATAATTCTTAAATTATGGGGGACGATGCTTACGTATCGGACTGCGACCAAGAGATAAATTTTTAAATAAAAGCAACTACTTTGCGTTTGTTTTTAACCCCTTAACCTACAACTACGGGCATAGCCCGTAGTACGATGATCGGGCCAAATATAATATATAATATAATATATAATATAATATATAATAGCTTGTTTACGTTTTCGGCTCAAAATTCTCGAACGTAAATCGTAGGTCAAGGGATTAAACATTCTTGTTTTTATATCATTAAATGTGTCATTCAAGAAAAATATTTGCACAAATATTATCGAGGAGTTTTCATCAAGCGTAACACTGATAGATGAAGTAATTAAAACGGAACAATATATTTTCGCATCGAAGGCCAGTAGATCTTTTGTAGAATATCTTTTTTATCTGCCAGTTTATCGGGACAAAATGCGGATACGTGTTTTCCAATTAAAGTACAAAAAATCCCCACGGTGAAGAAAATCATTGTAGTTTCCAGATGCAACGATGATGCATTGTAGAGAATATTCGAAAATTGCACGTTTGTTATGTCTTCCTGGACGTTTTATATAAACATCGTATACCTTCCCGACGATTATTTCATTAATTTTCTAGCTCAGGAATTCCCGTTTCGATAATAAAAACGATAGAAATAATCGTCTTTTATAATCGTATCTTTTATCTTTTATTTATGAGTCAATATTACCGCGAACTATTAACAGCAACACTTAGTTCATCTTTCACGAACATCAACAACGGTTTCACATTTGTCCAAAGTTTCGTTTAAACAGTAATCGCAAAAAGATTCATCCCCTTTGCTCTCTACTATTACACAATCGCACATTATGATTGCATTGAAAGATTAACGACGTTTATTCTATTCTCTCGTGAAACGGACGAGAGTTTCGTGTTTGTCTGAAACACGAGTTTGAGTAAAATCGTTCTTACATAATTTCATCATGTTTGCATGCTTCCTATGGAACGTAAACGATTCTGTTTCAATTCCTTGCGTACGCATCGGATATGTATAGATCTATGAAATGTTGTATTTTGTTGATTTACGTTGCGAAGACTATTTTCCGCAGATGGCCTTTTCGAACTCTTGTCGCCGACGCAATCGCGATTACATGTTTCTGTACGTTAACCACTGAACCGATTGTTTGTTTTTCGTTACTGGTATTCCTATCGCGTAAGCGAAAAATCTACTCAGTAAGTGAAAAATATATGCACATGCTGAAGAAAAACAATCGCGCAAGAGTGATCGATTCAATCGCGAATCGTTACCATGCACGATCGTCTAAATAAACGTTCTTTGGCCCGATAAAATGTCGATACGTGGCAGATAAGATTGTGACGGTAGCGTGCAGTCAGGGCTTTCTGTATAATGCACGAACATCCTTGCAATAGAGGAAACGCGGTTTCTAACCAGACTACGGTCTATGAATTTCAAACGAGGTGTGGTGTTTCTGTTTCGTTAGCTACTTCTCATATATTGTCCATCCGATGCAATCGTGACGTAACATCGATATGATGTGTATATTTAATAACAAAATATATCTAATCACGTGGATGCGTGTTTTCCAGCGAACCTCTTTATTATCGGGTTTCGAATACGTTTGGTATTTAGCGCACCCGATAACTTGAAAACTACTTGGCGACAGAAATGTAAATAAATGTAATCGTACAATTGGATTATTTTTATCAATCTCCGTTATCACGTTCATGATCTTTGTCGCTGTTAACCAACGTACCGTCGCTGTGAACCAACGTTAAAGCTATTTAATTATTACGAAATAGCGATACTTAGACAGCCACGCAGTAGGGATTATCCTAGTAACGCGTGAAATTTGTCTGCGTTTTCGATTCAAATAAAAGAAAGACAAGAAGAGAACGAACAGCATAGCAAGATTTATCGATTTATTCAACAACGAACGTATCAATCGACTCTTTAAAATACACACTACGTATTACGCTCATGGATCGAACTACAGTACGTCATAGGTGGCCTGATAACGTTCGAAGGGTTATTGAGGCGCCATGCCAAAGATAGTTGCTTCTTCGTGCGAACAATAGTCGCCTCTCTCGTGAGACAGATACGTCTTACGCGTTCGTATGTCCCTCGAATCGCATCAACGAGCGTTCGTCGTTCCTCGTTTAGTCGGAGAGTTTGTTGTTCGCGGGCGTTGCATAACGCTTGGCGGAGGGCAAACATCATACAAGCACGTGCGTTCTGGTCGACGCGGCGTTTCGGGCCCTCGAATCAAATACACACGTTCCATTGTTACGATGGAGACTGTTTCGTCGCGAACCTTCGTTCGAACAATGTTCGCCGAATCGATTACGATCGTTTCGCGCTTGTAATTGAAATTCTAAAATGACCCAGTTGTTATTTTTGGCGTGCGAGATTGTGCGGCGCGCTTGCCCTCCCATCTTCTGATAATACCCGTTCTCGTGCTGTCGTTGGTTTCTTCAAAAGATATTGGCTTAATACATTTCATCAAGCGTGACCTTAATCGAGCGGCTTTGCAACAAGCGCCTTCCCGTGTTGGGACAGTTCGCGTGGCACCGAACCAACGCTGAAAGAATTCATTCCAGCATCGCGAGCGATGCAATCTGCTTGCAGCTTCGTGCGGCCTCGTCCTACGTCTAAAGATACAATGGCGTCGTTGAAAATTCATTCCGCCCGCGTTAGAGTTTATCGATCCTCGTTCTAAAGACAGGATCGTGGCTCGTGTCATTCCTTCGTAAAAACGAACAAGAACGAGCTAATGTCACTGTCGCGCGCACGCGTTCCGCCAACAGATGAACGAATCGCGGTTTCTGATTCGTTCGGTAGCCAACGAAGGGAAGTACCAAAGAAGCGTGAAATGTACGAAATATTGTTATGCGCGATGCAGAGAAGGTCTTTGGACAACCCTGACACTGTTTTCTCTAGGAAGCACACCGCTCTGAATTAATATCGTTTGACATTGCTTGACCAATAAAGCCGAACTATAGGAAACGTAATTACGACGACCTTCCGAGATGACCGAGGAACCTCGATGACCGATCTTGCCACTCGCTGGTGAGTTCAACCGGTAATGAATTGCCAGTCAACAATGTCGTTTGTCAAGCTGCTACATAATCGCTCATCGCACGTGAATTACGTTGTCCGCTATCAAGTTGAACGTTAATCAATCGTTAATCAGGTTGATAAGCGTTTGCATGCGAATCGCGCGTCTGGATCAGGATAGATAATATTGTAATCGGTTCCGTTAACGGTTCACCAGCAAAGGACACGCTACGGCGACAATGACGACAACGACGACGACGATAAATAGTTACGATGCAATCGCACACACCGTGTCCGAGACTTGACCTTCGCTTAGCGTGGAAAACCTCTACATAGGAAAATAAATTGCACGTGTTCGTCACGAAAGTGACACACTAATTGAGCGCCGTGCACCGTGAAACGGAATTAAGAAAGATTGCCTGTATCGTTTGAGCAGTTTCCTGCGCGCAACACTGGCGTCCGACAGAACCGCGAAAATCTCACGAAGTTTCTATCCCGAGACGAATTTCAGCTCAAGGCCGGCATGTCTAACCTAACACGGGCTCTCATGAAAACAACCGTGAACCAATCTCGTGGCCGAAACCTGCTTATCGACCGACCACGTTTTTCTATTTGGATCGTTCTTTAACGTTTCTCTTGACTATGCACGGGCTCCATTCTGTCTCGGGCAATGTAACATATTTCGTAATAACAGTCGAACATACGTATTACGAAATCAAACGGTCATTTCTGGTCTTCATTATCGACGTGGTCATTAGACGTTAATGGTACGCTGATACGACCAAATTGATAGGACGTCAATTACGGCGGGAAAAAAAATCAGATACACGCGCAACAGGGTGTAATCGGTGTAGGCACGGCGAGTTTATTTTCAGCGAGTGATACAATGCATATAGAGCCGAGGAATTGAAACGTTGTGGCAAACAATAAAATTCGATTGAAAAGCCATCACGGAGAATGGCGCTTAATTCGTGCTATTCGATCTATAGACGACTGGTACGTTTGCAACTAGGATGAGAAATCGTGCAACGCTGACAACGATTCCCTGTCTACTCTTGGCAAGATATGGGTAATATATCGGTTAAGGGACAGAAAAGAGAAGAGCGAGGTGGAAAAGGAAGGGAAAGGTAGGCGATCGGGAAAAGCGTTAGACCAAAGAAGAATCGGCTGGCTTGACGGTCGTGAGCCGACTGCCTGGTTCGTTCCGGCCTGGTGGAACGCCTCGCGGACAGAGTGCGCGAGCGGAATGCTTA